GAGATTCTTATTGTAAGCATGCAAGTAATTTTGTAATTATAGTTATAAAAATCCCCCTTCTATACAATGTAAACCTTAGCAATTTAGTCCATGCTGATATTAAGGTATTGAATAAACCAATCTTCTTCATCTTCTTCTTCTTAAATATACGAAGTTAGTGTTTACTGAGCTTTAAGAAAATCTATAATTTTACGGGGATAGTGTGCATAATTTTATAAGCTATCCCCACTCAGTTTGAATAAAGAAAACGCTGATTTTCCTTGTGTGATACCTTAGTGAAATAAGTAATGAGGTTTAACTGCCACCGGTCATCAAGAGCAATAAATTTTCGATGTAAACTCTTGAAAGCTTTTTCACTTTAGACAGACAGTTAGTGTAAAGGCAGAAAGTGAAAGATTCCGTAAGGTTTTAATTCAAAGTAATTTATTTGACTAAGGCATTGTAGGAGATATAACAACGACCAGAGAGCAACAAGGACTTGAATTAGGTGGCTCGGGCGAATTGCAAACGATAAAAAAATGTTTTCTTTCTACTTCTTCCGGCGTTCAGCAATTTAGAAATGTATGGGAAAAGACTTTCATTTACCATAGATACAAAAGTCATTTTCATTTTGCTTTCCCTCCATTCAACCATTTACCGAACTAGAGTTTAACTATTGAATGATAACGATAAAATGATGAATTAAATCAATGCTGGATCATTGCTCTCTGTGTTAACTCGCTTTGAGTTGAATAAAGCCGTATTCAAATCGGCTTTTAAAAGGAAATATTAGGAATAACTCCTTTTTTTAGCAAAAGCTTCACATTTACGACGTCAGTGTACGTAAAGCCAGGGTTCTTTCATTGTCCTTAATCCATTCTATCCCAAATTAATTCAAAGGTTCTATCCGATTAATCACTTTATCTTTAATTGAACTCGAATTGCCGTTTGGCTATATTTGTCATGTTTACTACAACTCAAATAACAGTCCAGGATGTCTGAAACAACTTCTCAAGATCCCAGCC